GTGTGCGTGTGTGTGTGTGTGTGTGTGTGTGTGTGTGTGTGTGTGTGTGTGTGTGTGAGTGTGTTTGTGTGTGTGCGTGTGTATATACAAAAATATAGTTATTTTTGCTTTTAATACGGTCTTTATGATATCAAAATTTTTGATACCATAGAAATTTAATATTTCTTGTCACCAGCGTCAATATCACAAAGAAACTAATACTAGCCTAAATAAACTCAAGCTCACTGACAAACTAATTACAAGCAAAAAAACTACAGTAGAACAAATAAATGCTACATGCTACAAACATTGTATAAACTAATCAAATGTATAAAAACACTGCATATTCTTCACTGTGAATGTATATTAATGACAGACAGCAGGAATATTAGACTGCTGTCACTTTAAGAGCTAAACGGATCCAATATACTGTAACACGTGTGTTAACTTTCTCAGCTGTTTGCTTTCACTTTAGACCCAAATGACTGTGTTTATGAGGATACTTGCAAAGACGGGCGTTTTGACACATACAAGTGTGTGTATTTAACCGTTCACGGCCTATAAAGCAGCAAAAATAACTCGGTTCAATACTCGCATGCTCTGTGAGTGCCGTCTTCACCCACCACTAATATATATATTTAATTGAGCAAAAATAGAAAATCTTAATATGTAACAAAAATTAGTAACACTTTACAGTAAGATCCCATTTGTTAACATTAGTTAATTGCATTAATTAACATGAACTAACAATTAACTTTTTTTTTTTTTATTAATTTAATTAACAACATTTAATGTTTAATGTAAACTAATGTTTACTAATGGAACTTTATGGTGAAGTTATTATTTTGTTTGCATCAAAACAAAATGCATTAAATAAAAATGTATGATATTAATAATTAATATTAAATCAAATAAAATTCTAAAAGAAAAAACATTCAGAGGCAATTTCAGAAATAATTTTCACTCAAAATAATGCTGGTAAGTTTCAATTATTAAGAAACAACTATAATTAATAGTACTGAATTATAAAGAAACTGCAAGATTTATTTATCATTCGTAAATAAAACAGACTTGCCATTTCTTTGTATTTTTAGTGAAATTTACCAGCAATTTCTGAGTGAAAATTGTTTCTACACCATTTGTTTTTGTCACAAGGTGGTTGTATTTAAATATTTTAGTATTTTATTTTAGTAATATGGTACATTAACATTATTTCAGTTAATTAAATATACGTTTTCTACTGTAAATTTAAGTTTAATCTGTTAGTTAACTATTGTTTACTAATGGGACCTTATTGTAAAATTATTATTTTGTTACATATTTTGTTTGCATCAAAACAAAATGCATTAAATAAAATATATATATAATATTAATAATATAAAATTAAATACAATTCTAAAAGAAAAAAAAACATTCACACCAGATTTAATATATATGATTAGTCATATCAACTATATGAAAATATTTAACCTTGATTCATTATTTGAATCTATTAGCAATGACTAACCAAATGCTTTGCTATTTAAAAGCAAAACTCTGCATTGTTCATATAACAGCAGACTTCAGCGGAGTCCTCTCGTCTGAACTGTGAGACATAATCTCACAAAACTCAAGCCTCATGTTAGCTCTCGAAGCCCAAGCATCACGTTTCTTGGCCTAAAGAGGAGAAAGCAAGCTAAAGAGTGAGGAGACGGATGGTCACCAGTCTAATCACAAACCCGTCCTCATGTTCCTCTGATCAGACGAGATGACCCTGAACAGAGTCAAAGCCGCTTGTGATTAGATGTGTGACGTATGACGCGCAGCTTGACCGCAGACGATCGAGCGGGACACATGAAACAGGACAGGACTGAAGGACAGACGTGCCTGATGCCGTGGATGTTCTTGATGGCGTAGCTGATCTCCTTGCGCAGCTCCTTCTCGTTGAACTCCATCTGAGGACAGACAACACACTACTGAATAAACCATGAGGATATTCAGATCATATCTCACTAAAAACACGAAAGAAAGAAAGAACGAAAGATTTACATTTTGCTTAAAGAAAATCAATTGTCAGCAGCCCATTGGAATGTGGGGAAAATATTTTATATTAAAAATACAATATTATGCTATGTAGTATATAATATTTATATATTTATAAAATATAAGGATAATTACACCTGCATTTATTTGATCAAAAATAGATTAATATGAAATATTTTAATATATTGAAAATATTAAATTGAAAACAGTTCTTTAAATTGTAATAGTGTATTTTCATCAAATAAATGCAGCCGTTGTGAGCAGAAGACATGAAAACATGTTTGTGTGTGAGAGAGAGAGAGAGTGTGTGTGTGTGTGTG